CTAAAATGTTCTACTTCCTGGATTTGTACCTTCCCCTGCCTCAGGTCTTACACACATCTGTCTCACCATAAGCTTACTTTAACCCCATAATATATTCCGAGATCCATCTCTTCATCCTGAGCGCTCGCCATCTGACCTCCCTGTAATGTAGAACTGCCACCCCTCCATCTCGTCACCCTAAGCTGTCTCTCTGCCTTCAGACCCTTGCCTGAGTTATTCTCCCGTCCTTTCTTCATTTCACTGAGCTGTCCAATTCCTCCCAGCACACACACACCTATCTCTCCATCTCTATCCCGGAATTGTTCTGACCCCAAAACTTTGGTTGACTCTCTCTTCCTACGTATGCTTCGCACCTATTGTCTTTTCCTCTGAGTTGTCCCATTTTTTACCCTACGTGGTCACCTTCTTTCCCCAGGTTGTCACCTTTCCTCCCCCCTATGTCTCTCTCCACAGATTGTCACCTTCATTCCCCCAGGTTGTCACTTTGCCTCCCCCTTGTCTGTCTCCGCAGGTCATCATCTTCCTTCTCCTATCTGTCTCCTACCCCGGGCTATTACCAACCTGCCCCTCCTGTTTCTTTCCCTAGGTTTCCCCATCGCCTCCCCACCTCTGTCTTTTTTTCTCCCAGGTTCACGCCTTTCCTACCCACCTGTCTCTTTCCCCAGGTTGTCACTAGTGATGGGCTCGGGCGTGTTCGCAAGCGCCTCTTGCCGAGCCCGCCAGGAAGCCGTCAGCGCTCAGGGCCAATCACAGGCACTGAGACATTTCCTGATCTCTGCAGCTGCGGACCGGGAACATGTCTCAGTGCCTGTGATTGGCCCTGCTAGTGACTAGTTGTCACCTTCCCTCACCCTCTATCTCTCTCTCCCCAGGTTGTCACCTTCCCTCCCCCTCTGTCTCTCTCCCCAGGATGCCACCTTCCTCCCTCTGTCTCTCTCCCCAGGATGTCACATCCCTCACCCTCTATCTCTCTCTCACCAGGCTGTCATCTTCCCTCCCCCTAGTTTGTCACCTTCCCTCACCCTCTGTCTCTCTCTCCCCAGGTTGTCACCTTCCCTCCCCCTCTGTCTCTCTCCCCAGGATGCCACCTTCCTCCCTCTGTCTCTCTCCCCAGGATGTCACATCCCTCACCCTCTATCTCTCTCTCACCAGGCTGTCATCTTCCCTCCCCCTAGTTTGTCACCTTCCCTCACCCTCTGTCTCTCTCTCCCCAGGTTGTCACCTTCCCTCCCCCTCTGTCTCTCTCCCCAGGATGCCACCTTCCTCCCTCTGTCTCTCTCCCCAGGATGTCACATCCCTCACCCTCTATCTCTCTCTCACCAGGCTGTCATCTTCCCTCCCCCTAGTTTGTCACCTTCCCTCACCCTCTGTCTCTCTCTCCCCAGGTTGTCACCTTCCCTCCCCCTCTGTCTCTCTCCCCAGGATGCCACCTTCCTCCCTCTGTCTCTCTCCCCAGGATGTCACATCCCTCACCCTCTATCTCTCTCTCACCAGGCTGTCATCTTCCCTCCCCCTAGTTTGTCACCTTCCCTCACCCTCTGTCTCTCTCTCCCCAGGTTGTCACCTTCCCTCCCCCTCTGTCTCTCTCCCCAGGATGCCACCTTCCTCCCTCTGTCTCTCTCCCCAGGATGTCACATCCCTCACCCTCTATCTCTCTCTCACCAGGCTGTCATCTTCCCTCCCCCTAGTTTGTCACCTTCCCTCACCCTCTGTCTCTCTCTCCCCAGGTTGTCACCTTCCCTCCCCCTCTGTCTCTCTCCCCAGGATGCCACCTTCCTCCCTCTGTCTCTCTCCCCAGGATGTCACATCCCTCACCCTCTATCTCTCTCTCACCAGGCTGTCATCTTCCCTCCCCCTAGTTTGTCACCTTCCCTCACCCTCTGTCTCTCTCTCCCCAGGTTGTCACCTTCCCTCCCCCTCTGTCTCTCTCCCCAGGATGCCACCTTCCTCCCTCTGTCTCTCTCCCCAGGATGTCACATCCCTCACCCTCTATCTCTCTCTCACCAGGCTGTCATCTTCCCTCCCCCTAGTTTGTCACCTTCCCTCACCCTCTGTCTCTCTCTCCCCAGGTTGTCACCTTCCCTCCCCCTCTGTCTCTCTCCCCAGGATGCCACCTTCCTCCCTCTGTCTCTCTCCCCAGGATGTCACATCCCTCACCCTCTATCTCTCTCTCACCAGGCTGTCATCTTCCCTCCCCCTAGTTTGTCACCTTCCCTCACCCTCTGTCTCTCTCTCCCCAGGTTGTCACCTTCCCTCCCCCTCTGTCTCTCTCCCCAGGATGCCACCTTCCTCCCTCTGTCTCTCTCCCCAGGATGTCACATCCCTCACCCTCTATCTCTCTCTCACCAGGCTGTCATCTTCCCTCCCCCTAGTTTGTCACCTTCCCTCACCCTCTGTCTCTCTCTCCCCAGGTTGTCACCTTCCCTCCCCCTCTGTCTCTCTCCCCAGGATGCCACCTTCCTCCCTCTGTCTCTCTCCCCAGGATGTCACATCCCTCACCCTCTATCTCTCTCTCACCAGGCTGTCATCTTCCCTCCCCCTAGTTTGTCACCTTCCCTCACCCTCTGTCTCTCTCTCCCCAGGTTGTCACCTTCCCTCCCCCTCTGTCTCTCTCCCCAGGATGCCACCTTCCTCCCTCTGTCTCTCTCCCCAGGATGTCACATCCCTCACCCTCTATCTCTCTCTCACCAGGCTGTCATCTTCCCTCCCCCTAGTTTGTCACCTTCCCTCACCCTCTGTCTCTCTCTCCCCAGGTTGTCACCTTCCCTCCCCCTCTGTCTCTCTCCCCAGGATGCCACCTTCCTCCCTCTGTCTCTCTCCCCAGGATGTCACATCCCTCACCCTCTATCTCTCTCTCACCAGGCTGTCATCTTCCCTCCCCCTAGTTTGTCACCTTCCCTCACCCTCTGTCTCTCTCTCCCCAGGTTGTCACCTTCCCTCCCCCTCTGTCTCTCTCCCCAGGATGCCACCTTCCTCCCTCTGTCTCTCTCCCCAGGATGTCACATCCCTCACCCTCTATCTCTCTCTCACCAGGCTGTCATCTTCCCTCCCCCTAGTTTGTCACCTTCCCTCACCCTCTGTCTCTCTCTCCCCAGGTTGTCACCTTCCCTCCCCCTCTGTCTCTCTCCCCAGGATGCCACCTTCCTCCCTCTGTCTCTCTCCCCAGGATGTCACATCCCTCACCCTCTATCTCTCTCTCACCAGGCTGTCATCTTCCCTCCCCCTAGTTTGTCACCTTCCCTCACCCTCTGTCTCTCTCTCCCCAGGTTGTCACCTTCCCTCCCCCTCTGTCTCTCTCCCCAGGATGCCACCTTCCTCCCTCTGTCTCTCTCCCCAGGATGTCACATCCCTCACCCTCTATCTCTCTCTCACCAGGCTGTCATCTTCCCTCCCCCTAGTTTGTCACCTTCCCTCACCCTCTGTCTCTCTCTCCCCAGGTTGTCACCTTCCCTCCCCCTCTGTCTCTCTCCCCAGGATGCCACCTTCCTCCCTCTGTCTCTCTCCCCAGGATGTCACATCCCTCACCCTCTATCTCTCTCTCACCAGGCTGTCATCTTCCCTCCCCCTAGTTTGTCACCTTCCCTCACCCTCTGTCTCTCTCTCCCCAGGTTGTCACCTTCCCTCCCCCTCTGTCTCTCTCCCCAGGATGCCACCTTCCTCCCTCTGTCTCTCTCCCCAGGATGTCACATCCCTCACCCTCTATCTCTCTCTCACCAGGCTGTCATCTTCCCTCCCCCTAGTTTGTCACCTTCCCTCACCCTCTGTCTCTCTCTCCCCAGGTTGTCACCTTCCCTCCCCCTCTGTCTCTCTCCCCAGGATGCCACCTTCCTCCCTCTGTCTCTCTCCCCAGGATGTCACATCCCTCACCCTCTATCTCTCTCTCACCAGGCTGTCATCTTCCCTCCCCCTAGTTTGTCACCTTCCCTCACCCTCTGTCTCTCTCTCCCCAGGTTGTCACCTTCCCTCCCCCTCTGTCTCTCTCCCCAGGATGCCACCTTCCTCCCTCTGTCTCTCTCCCCAGGATGTCACATCCCTCACCCTCTATCTCTCTCTCACCAGGCTGTCATCTTCCCTCCCCCTAGTTTGTCACCTTCCCTCACCCTCTGTCTCTCTCTCCCCAGGTTGTCACCTTCCCTCCCCCTCTGTCTCTCTCCCCAGGATGCCACCTTCCTCCCTCTGTCTCTCTCCCCAGGATGTCACATCCCTCACCCTCTATCTCTCTCTCACCAGGCTGTCATCTTCCCTCCCCCTAGTTTGTCACCTTCCCTCACCCTCTGTCTCTCTCTCCCCAGGTTGTCACCTTCCCTCCCCCTCTGTCTCTCTCCCCAGGATGCCACCTTCCTCCCTCTGTCTCTCTCCCCAGGATGTCACATCCCTCACCCTCTATCTCTCTCTCACCAGGCTGTCATCTTCCCTCCCCCTAGTTTGTCACCTTCCCTCACCCTCTGTCTCTCTCTCCCAAGGTTGTCACCTTCCCACCCCCTCTGTCTGTGTCCCCAGGTTGTCACCTTGCTTCCAATTAGTTTTTTTACACACAGATATTGATCCACACCCAATTCTAATAAGTCACATCCACTTATAATAAACTACTCCCTCTATATGCTTCCGCGCTCCACCATCTGCCGCTCCCTCCAGTTTAGTGTTCCCTATAAGGTGGGACCCCATATGGTGACCTCACACGGTGTATACACTGCATGATATATAATCCAAAAGTCCAGTCATATCTATGGATGGGACTCGCAGCAATTTCACTTACTTTGATTTACTCTTCGCATCTGATGAGAAAAAGAGCCAAAAAAAAAAACAGATTATGTTATCATAGCGACACACATATGGACACAAGGATATGATAACACAGGGTTGTCACACTCACGGTTTACACAGGTCAGGAACATCCTCTAAACTCTCCCTGTAGCCCAAGGACAGCAGGCATGGATCCACCAACACTTCCGAGAGCCTTACTGTTTACTTCCGGGTTTTGCTACGCATTAGTCAGGGTCGTATTCAATATGTCCTTTACACCGGAGCCATGTTTTTGTAGCCTGCTTCATTGACTTCCTACCAGGAGGTGTTTGGCAAAATGGCCGCCGCTATCTCTCATTGAAGACAAGAGTCAAACTGAGAGGCGAAGACCTCTTCCTCTATAGACAGAAAAGGCACCTATATAGTAAATTCTGTAACATACAGTAAAGGAGCATGTAGGCTAAGAACATGATATTGTTAATTAAGCAGAAAATGATATATTAATTTATACATGTCAATATAAGTGATATCTATTCATTAACATTATTTTATATTACTAATATCCATTATGTCCATTAAAGTGCTCACTTTGCCCCAGAGATAACATCACAGGGGCCGCCAAGGCCTTCAATCACCGAGAGCCAAGAGGGTGCCCAATGCACAATGTTACTTCTTCCTAAATCATGGCACTCTATTGGATACAACAAGTCCTGTTCTGAGTGGCGTTGAGTGAAAAGATTATCAGTGGTGACAACTCTAATAACTCCCCTCCTCAGAGTATGTAAGGACGCAATTGAAGAGGGCGACAACACTAATAACTCCCCTCCTCAGAGTATGTAAGGACACAGCTACAGAGGGTGACAACACTAATAACTCCCCTCCTCAGAGTATGTAAGGACACAGCTACAGAGGGTGACAACACTAATAACTCCCCTCCTCAGAGTATGTAAGGACACAGCTACAGAGGGTGACAACACTAATAACTCCTCTCCTCAGAGTATGTAAGGACGCAGCCGCTGAGGGTGACAACACTGCAATGAATTCAAAATAGCTCCCAACTGTCCCTGATTTGGACGGACTGCCTCTCTTTTGAAAGCCAAATCCCTCTGTCCCCCTTTTCTTCTCAGTTGTCCCTCTTTTCTTCTGGCTTTTGGATCTTTATGATATAATGAATTATGGAAGCAACAAAAATGTTATTCTCAGAAGATTCTTCTTCCAACATCTACAGACATCTCAACTCTCCCGGATGTTGCGAGAGACTCCCGCTATAAGATAGCAGCTCCCGGACACCCGGGAGAGAAACATTTTATCCCGGAAAGGTTTACCCTGCAGAGAACCTTTCCCTGCTATCTGTTTTTTATTTATTTTTTTCTTGACATCGGCCGCCGTCAGTCA